GCATCGGGGCCCCAGAGCATAGCAAGGAGCTGCTGCGGCCACCTCCGCTGCCCCCTAGCTCAGCCCCAAACCTCCTCAAGGGGCAAGAGCCTTGCAGAGGAGAACCATCCAAGAGGCCAGGAATGGCACAGCTGTGGGCCCTCCCAGGAAGCCAGGGAAAACCCAGGCCTGCCAACCCCCGACACAGGTGGGTTAACAAGAGCAGCAAGCAGGTGGCATCACCCCCTAGTTTATTAAAAAATTACTTAGGCACAGCATCACAGAGACAGTGATGCTCAAGGGGCAAGAGCCTTGCAGAGGAGAACCATCCAAGAGGCCAGGAATGGCACAGCTGTGGGCCCTCCCAGGAAGCCAGGGAAAACCCAGGCCTGCCAACCCCCGACACAGGTGGGTTAACAAGAGCAGCAAGCAGGTGGCATCACCCCCTAGTTTATTAAAAAATTACTTAGGCACAGCATCACAGAGACAGTGATGCCAGGTACAGCTAAGTTTGCCTAACAATTTTAATTAAAAACCCTATTTTCAACCACTCAATCATTCTAGTTAACATTGGCAACATCTCAAGGTGACTTTTCATCATTTTTAGGCAAAACTAGCTCAGTCATTTATGACTGGATTAGGGATGTTAATTGTGTAAAGGATTACATGCTAACTGCTAAGGCTGGTTCATCTGTTAATCCTAATGGTTATGTGCACACGCACGCACACATACCCCCTTGCTACCTCTGTTTCAAAAGGCAGAAGCCAGTGTCCACAGAGGCAGCAACATGGGGTGGGCCAGGCAAGACCCAGTACAGGTGGGAAGCCAGCTGCCCCCTGCACTGCTGCCTCTCTATCAGAGACTGCTGGAGGAGGGAAGGAAAAAAGGTGGGAGCCCGTGCTTGTGAGAAGCCAGCTAAAAGCCAACTCCATGCAAGCACTGGCTGCCGCCTGCTCACCTGCATGGAAATATGCAAACACTAAAAATGTGAGTGGTTACATGTTTACACAAACACTCTTTTTAACATCCCTAGACTAGATATGGGTTTAGGGGGTATTTTTGAAGGGGAAGTTCTTTTGTCACTGTTAGTCCTTCTGACAGTTTTAAGAAATCTAGCACCTTCCTTCTTTGGAGCAGGGATTTAATATTTGGCAAGAGGAATGCACTGGAGTCAGGAAGATGCCTTTTTTTTGGTCCTCATCTGACTGGCTTTTGTACCTCACCCCATTCTATGCCTCTGAAGAGTGGTATTTGCACATGGTAAGTAGAGCTTTTTAGAATGTTTCTAAAAGTCTCCAGAAATGCAAAAAGCATGTTCCAGCCCCACAGATCTCCATGGTGACTGCAGTGAGCATGCTTCAGGCTCCATTCTGTCTCTTACACAGTAGGTAGGGAGCTAGTGCTCCAGACAAAACTTAACACACAACAGAAGCATCTCACCTCTTTGGCGTAAGTAAAGATGTGCTAGTCAGGGATGATATTAATAATTTTAAGTTGCACTCATTAAGGGATGGGCACTCTCTCACACTTACTTTGCTAGATATGCAAGTATCATTCCCTCCCCTTTCCAGGCTGAGTGACTTTGCACCCTTAATTTGGCCCTTTTATGTATATGTATGGTACAGTTTTCTGTGACGTGATCACATTAATTGTGCTACAGGACCTCAGAATAGACAATGAACGGGACGAAGTTTTGAGATATAGGCCTGGGATTTAGGAGCTGTGTTTTAATGTTAACTCTGCCTCAGACTTCCTATGTGATATTTGTCAAGATTGTATTAATGCACATACACAAAGGGGATGAATTAATCTTGAGGTTTTTATTTTCCTGAAGAGCAATTACAGGATTCACAGTTGCTTTTCTAAAAGCATGATTGGGTTGGTTTTCTTCACTTTTTTGCAAAGATATCATCTGAATCCAAAAGCAGTGACCTACCTTTTTATCTGATCAATTCAAAATAGTGCAACTTACATTATAAAAACAGCTGATGTATAAAATGTACCTGTTGAATTTGCATTGGAAAAGGTCCAAGAGCATTCTCCATCATAGAGGATGGGATAGGAGCCCACCTTCTTTTGGTTCTCCTGAGGACTGTATCTCTAGCATGTCTTGTCTTATGTGTCTGGATTTAGAAGGCCAAAGGAGATAATTAAGTAAAGATCAACCCATAAATTCATAAGGTTTATATTCTTGTTTCCCTTCATTTTCCCCCTTTTCAGGTACTCCAGGATTCCCTCCAAATCTTATGGACCACTTTTTGTTCTTTTAAATCATCTTCTTCATGATTCCACTTAATTCTGTTGTCTTGAGAATTCTTCAGCCCTAAGCAACATATGATTTTAGTACCTCATACAAATACACAGTGCTCTATAGGTTTTTAATTGCTTAATCCTGTGGTGAGGGTCATAATTTCCAGCCTTTGCCACTCAAGGAGTTTTAAAATTTAAATGCATGCACTTATTAGGTATTGCTATATAAAAAGTACGCTTTTGTATAGAGCAATCATTTTAAGAATTATAAACAAATTTTACACAATGAACTGTAAACAGGCAGTTTAAAACAAAAAGCAAGAAGTAAAATATCTAACAATTATGAGCCTACCTTTTCTTGATGACCTAGCAAATTGACATCTATAGTCTTTTCTTCATGCCCTTGAACATCCTTGAGTAAGATGGTAAAAGTCTTTTCCTCAGAAGACAAAGAAGTTGTATTTGTTGTAAACACAGAACCATCTTCTAGTATTCTAAAGTTCGGATCACTTGAACTAATATGTTCTGCAGACTTAAGGCACTCTTTCAGATTTACTGTAAGAAAGATTTGTAATTACTCTCTCAAGTCACAACAAAACAAATGTTTTCAAACAGATATGTTTTAAGTCTGTCTTATGTTTATGCACTTATATAAAAAAGTGAACTTATTTCAAGTCAACATGTTTAGCACCTTTAAATATCAGGCTACTTTTACTTAAGAGTAAAAGAATAAATTTAAAGCCCAGCTTTTGGACAAAGTTTACATTCATATTGCACATCCATCCATTTGTTAAGCATATTAGGCCATCTGCTAAAGAATAGTTAACCATAGTGAGTATTTTACACACATATTGCTGGAAAGGAGAGAGAGAGAGAATAGCTTTCATTTTGGTGACTAATGTTTCCCAAATTCATACAATAATACTTGTGTATTTTTGACCCCCTTCAAAGTGTTTATCTTTCTTAATACAGTGCCATCGCCCATTTACATATATAATATTGCTATAACTCAGTGGATGAAATTCTGTCTTCATTAAGTGACTGGCAAGATTCCCCACACACTTCAATGGAACCAGGATTTTGCCAATGTGCAGATTATGGAAGACAAAAGCACTCAAACAGATTCCATCTCCATGGTTCTTAAGTATAACCAATGAGGGGGTAATTTGACAGTGTTCCTTCATTTTCTTTAGAACAAGCTTACTGTTGAATAGTCAAACTAACATTATGATACACTATTTCAACAAATCTCACTCCTTTTTTGTCTGCACAAAATCAGTTTATATCACCAAGCAAGACACCACAGAATTTTCCTTCAACTGCTTTTCCAAAAGCGAGTGCTTGAGAATGAATTCTATATCTGAGGTACATCGGCATTACTCCTACTACTGAATAGCTCTGTGTACTCTTACATGCCGCAGGATTTTAAAATCACATAGAATTTTGCAATTGTGGGGAAAATCCTTGCTTGTTTTACCATTGCGCTATGTATCACTAGTTGTATTACCACTAAACCAGCATCCTCTCCCAATAAAATGCGAAAGAACAGCAGTTGAGTGTGGCTAGTTTGCTAGACAGTAGTCAATATAGTGGCTAATGCTTCAGAAATGGCTGGACAACACAGATCTAGATAGTACTTGGTCCTGCCGTGAGTGCAGGGGACTGGACTTGATGACCTCGAGGTCCTAGTATTCTATGAAAATAATATACAATGATCAGCTGCATACGTTTTCATTATAAAACCTGACATTAAGGTGAACATTTCCATCATGTTCTTTTTATTCCCCTTCTTTTTAAAGGTAGCTTTGATTAATAAAGATAAACACTGTGGTGGGATAAAAATCTACTGAAGGAACAGAGGCAGTTGAGACTATGGCCCCTATTCTGAATCATGTTCCAAAACTGTGCCAGTACTGATATAAGACAGCCTCAGATTCAGCTCCCATTGTGTAGGAGGATCCTCAGTTGGCACAAAGCCTCTGTAGCAGCTCCTACATCACACCCTTCCTAAATGCTGCCATAGAAAAAAAGATCTGGAAAAAGTGGGTGTTGTCTAGGCATTGCTAATCCCCATCAAATGGCTCAAACTTGAATTGCTCAGCCCAGTACCGAACAACCCCAGGACTGGGGAACTTCTTTCTTGAATACTGTACTAAATACTTCATAGCCACAGCTGAGTATTTGACCATATTTTATTTCACTGCTGACATATCAGTGACACAAGGAATACAATCTGTTTTGTTTAAAAGAAAAAAAAAATCCAAGGTAATTACTAAAAAAAAATATGTATCTTTTCTATGGGATTTATGAACATTCAACACACTTCTGGTGTTTAGACCACATATTTAGCGGTTCCCCACCCCCCCCCAAGCTTGAACACACTGGCCTAAACTACTGCCTTGAATATAAAACAAAACAAAATCTGCTATTCTGTTGTAACAAAAAAATCAAAATGCATACTCTGGTAGTAAGCAACATTGAATTGTATAACAAAACACAGTAAATGCTTCAATAAAAGGTACATCTAATATACAACTGAATTTAACTAACTGAGTGTTGTCCCAGCTGCAATAAATTGTACTGAAAAAGAAATCAGTATATCCCTTTCATTGTAAAAGCAGGTACAGAAATGGCAAAACGATGCTGTATAGTTTTGAAGGACATCTTGAAACTTCTTACCTTTGCCAACTAATGTCCCAGCCTCTAATTTAGAAGGAACATTAAAAGTGACTTCCTTGCAAGCTTCACAAAATGAATTCAAAACCTGAAAACAAAAAGAATAGACACCCTTGCTGTGAAAGAATTCGTTAAACACTGTTTGAAATCATGGCCTAAAAAGTATATCGTAATTAGCTTTTTTGTCATGTTAAAGAACACCAAACATGAAAAGATGAAATATGTATTACATATTTTGGTGACTAATTTCAAGTTACATCAGTACTGAGACATAGGGAGTTCTTTATTTTAAACAACCCAGTGGGGGTTGGGGGAGAATCTAGAACGTATTATTTATTACATAGGACAGGAAAGCTCTGTGTTGTAATATCCAGGGTTAGAACAGAAGATGCAGGTTCTAATCTTGACTCTCTTGTCAAAAATCTCACATCAGTGGGCCCAGCACTTCAATCACAAAGAGATTAAATGTCCTTGCCAATGGCAGAACTTCTATTGACTTCAACAGGGTCACAATTAAACTTGGCCTCCCATTTTACCGTACATTGAAGTGGGAAAATTAAAACAAACAACTTATCTTCCTTTAAAGAACACTTTGGGCTCTATGGATGAAGTGTATTCAGAATTAAGATTCAGCAATTTCATGACATTTATTTCCACAAGGCTGCATTGATTTATAATATTTAAAGAATATTTTATTGTCATTGATGTGTACGAATTATAATATATGCACCTACAAATGTACTTTACTAGCAAACTAATCACCAAAATCCTTTAATTGAATCCATCAATATAGGCAGAGGTGTATCTACTCATGTATATCCCATTACAGAATTGGAGCTTCCAACTTCAAAACAGCCATCTGCAGCTGGTAAATAATCACATTTTATAAAACAAAGTGAAGGCACAGAGTGGTTCCAAGCTCTCAGCCTGAGCTCAGATCATGTGTCTATCCAAAGTTTTATTTAATTTAATTAAAATTAAAGTTAGGGCCACTAATTGTGGAATATTAAAAAAACCCGCAAGGAATCTGGATATTTTTTCTATGAACAATTTATGGGAAAAGTGACAAACTGTACATTCAACAATAGATGAGACACCTTTTACATATTTGTTCAAGATATTGAAAAAACGGCAAAGTGAAATGAGTTGCTTTTGCTGGGAAAATTAGATCACTCATTTTGAATTCTTTAAAAAGCAAGCAATCTTTTAGAGTCATGATTGGCAACAATTTCCAACTAATTTAATTTGTAACACTTTGGATAACCACAGCATTTAAGATACATCACAGACAACTCCTTTTCCTATTCAAATTGGGTTTAAAATCCTCACGTGAACCATGTAACTGAAATCATTATTTGTTTCTCAGCCCATATTTTATCTATCTGTAATAGTAATTAATGCTTACAAAACTCTCCATTCTCCTAAAAATATTGCTTTAAAAATATCATTTACAATATAGTCATGCATTGATTCTGCTGGCCTAAAAAAGCCTAATCAATTTAAAGTTAGGACCACTAACTGTGGAATATAAAAAAAAAAAAAATCAATAAGTGTGTTCATGGAAGGAATCTAGATTTTTTTTTCTATGAACAACTTACAGGAAAAAAGTGACAAACTTTACATTCAACAATAGATGAGACACCTTTTACGTATTTGTTCAAGATATTGAAAAAACGGCAAAGTGAAATGAGTTGCTTTTGCTGGGAAAATTAGATCACTCATTTTGAATTTTTTAAAAAGCAAGCAATCTTTTAGAGTCATGATTGGCAACAATTTCCAACTAATTTAATTTGTAACACTTTGGATAACCACAGCATTTAAGATACATCACAGACAACTCCTTTTCCTATTCAAATTGGGTTTAAAATCCTCACGTGAACCATGTAACTGAAATCATTATTTGTTTCTCAGCCCATATTTTATCTATCTGTAATAGTAATTAATGCTTACAAAACTCTCCATTCTCCTAAAAATATTGCTTTAAAAATATCATTTACAATATAGTCATGCATTGATTCTGCTGGCCTAAAAAAGCCTAATTTCAAAGCATCAACCAACAAGTTTAATATGATTCTAAGAGGAAGATTTATGGAAAGAATATACACAGAGACAAGATAAGAATACACCTGTCAGTAAACACAGAAATGTACAGTATACTCTGAGCATACATATGGCAAATGCCTACACTTGCATTTGTGTGTTGAGTTTTGCTTTTGTTTGTTGGAGAAGGAGGCTGCAAGAGAGAACATGGAACATTTCTTTTTGTAATTGGACTGGTGAGTAAAGTATGATCAGCATGGAGACAAAAATGCCATTGATTAAGATTATAGCAAAGGGTAATTAAATGCATCCTGTTTGGGCTAGTAAGTTTTCATGAAAATTTTCCATTAGTGTATAATGTAGCAAAATAATCAGTTTAGCCTGGCAACAGTATTGAAAATGTATTTATGAAGGCACAATCTACTCATCTATTCTTTACTAGGATTATGATAATGGGGGTAAGTGTGACCAAACAATGTTACTTTACTCAACCGTTGAAAAAGAGTTGTTTTCCTCAGGGCAAACAGAACTGGTCAGGGCTGATAATTATACAGGCAGTCCCCGGGTTACGTACAAGATAGGGACTGTAGGTTTGTTCTTAAGTTGAATTTGTATGTAAGTTGGAACTGGTACATATTGTAGGGGAAACTCTAGCCAAACATTTCTCCAGAGCTCAGTTTTATTCTCCCACACCTCACTTCCCGCAGTCCTTTATTCTCAAGCTGAGGTGTCTGCTGAGAAAAGCCGCTCCACCTCTCCCTGGTCTGCTGGGGTGGGGGGGCGCTAGCTTCGCATCTCCCTGGTCTGCTGGGGGGGAGGGTTGCCTCACCCCGTTTGTAAGTAGGGATCTGATGTAAGTCGGGGACTGCCTGTATATGAATATAAATAGATTTGTTACCCTGCATTTAAATGGGCCAAAAATTATTCAACCTTCAATGCATATAGATCCTTTGAAGTAAATAGAGCATCTACTTGCGTGAGCAAAGCAAACAAGATTTGTCCTCATGTGAATAATTTCAATTTGACTTTTATAAATACAACATATAGACAAAGACTCTTTCCTTTTCATAGCTGATGTGTTGAATAATAAGTATCTGTTTAATGACAATCTTTCAAAGCTCTAACGAGTATGTCTGTCCTGATGGCCCTAATCAAGAAAAACAAAAACAAAAAAAATCCAAGCACTATTTTGGACAAATGAACTGACCAGATCAATAAATGTAAGTGTCAAAGTACCAAAGTCAATTTCAGTTTTCTAACTCATTTACAGTCTTTCCTTTCTGAAAGTCACCTACTTGAGGACCATATACCAGATAGGCACATTACTTTCCACCATACAACTTGATGTGCATGGAATGGTGCCTTCAGTCACTTAAATTAAAAGGGATAAAGGCTAAGCCTTAAGGAGAGAGAGAGAGAAAGGGGAAGGGAAAGGGAAAGCCAGGAACCAACTTCAAAGCCTTCACTGACAACTACGACCCAGAAAGGTTGGAATGAATTCAGGCAAGTGTCAAACAGGAGGAGGGGGATGGTTCTCTCTCAATTTAGACGCTGCCACTAAAGCAAAATTCCACTTTCTTTAGTGCAACCCAGGCGCTAATCAGAAGGGGCACGAAGGGGAAACGCCTCATTTCCCGAACCACTTTCTTCCGAACTTCTACAGCCCGCCGAAGCTGATCCTGGACAAGCTCCAACTCCTCCAGCCCAGTCCCCCCGTCCGGCCCCAGAGCCTCCCCGGGGACCAGCCCGCAGGGCGCTCGTGGCCAGCGCCGGGCGCACTCACCAGGAGGCCGAAGAGGACATGCCGGGAGGCGGCTCTGCAGAGGGAGCCCCGCTGGCGGGCTGCGGCGGGGGCCATCTCCGGGTGGCTGCGGAGGAGCAGGGTGCAGAGGGCGGCGGGGAGCGGGAGGG